AGGACAAATTTGGGGTATGACATGAATATTTAAAGAAATAAAGAAATGCAGTAAATAACATAAGGATAAAGTGAGTAAAGCATAAAGATAAACACCCAAACAAGCAAGAAAAGAACAAAACTAGGTGAGACCCCAACTTGCAAGCGCAAGGACTCTCCAGCTAAAGCTGGGGAGTCCCAGCTAGCCAGAAAACAAATAAAGCAAGGAAAGACTCCAGCCTGCAAGAGAAAGAACTCCCCAGCAGAGTCGTCAGCTGAAGCTGGGGAGTCCCAGATAGCCAAGAAACAAACAAAGCAAGACGAGACTCCAACCTGTAAGAGAAAGGACTCCCCAGCAGAGTCGCCAGCTGAAGCTAGCGGGATGATACCTGAATGAATCACACACACAAAGATACAACAGAGTCGCCACCGAACTTTATTTAGTCCCAAAGGAATGGGAAAATATCGATAAAACCCAAGGGAAGAGAAACATGAAAGGGGGTCGTTTATGTGAAAGGAAGGTACTAGCACCTTAAACATTCGATGTACCCAACGGGAACCATTTCGCTTGCTTCTAGGCTTGGATGAGTTATCTATCTAAAGACTTCTAGCTAAAAAATAAAGAAAAGAGAGAAAAAAAGACAAAGAAAGAAAGTGCTCGTGGAGGATTGGGGCCCTCGTGCCTACGTACCCTCATAGTGCAATGAGAAAGTCAGAGCTCCGTAGTTCAAGGAACCAAGGAAAAGAAGAGGATCTGGACTGACCAGAGAGATAGAAGAATGGAAGACGATAGATGAAGGTGGCTCGCTAAGATTTCGCAATCTTAGGCCTACGTACCCTCATAGTGCAAAGAGGAAATCAGAGCCTACGTAGTTCGGGGAAATAACGCTGAGAAAGAACACAAAGACGACGTTGAAGCCAAAGACAAAAAGAGAAAGCAATACCCAACTGGGGAATGCAAAAGTAATGGTGTCAAAACCAAGAAAGAAGACGAAAGAAAACTCTGCTGAAGAACAAAGAAGCGAGGAAAAAACTCTATCGGGGAATACAGAAGAAAAGAGATGACTCCACTGGGGAGAAATCAAAAGAATGGTGTCGGAGCCAAGATAATAAAGGAGTAAAGGACAAGAATCAAAATAAAGGTAAGATCCACGAGGGGACTCGATGCATTAACTGGTAAGCAGTGATTAACCGAAGAAAAATAAGAGTAAAACTTTGTGGGGAGAGCCAAAAGGTTGGTGTCAACAGACGGACTGCGACAAACCAAGAGAAAGAGAGTACTGAACCAAAAGGAGGTGTTTGAATCTAAGGGGAAATTGGTATATTAACTGATAAATAGTGGTTAACCGGAAGGAGAAAGGAGATGGATTTAACCGATAAACGATGATCAACCAACAAACGGGTGTGGAACTAAGCAAAGGTTGTGACCCAAAGAATGATACATTGACTGAACCAACAATACTTGACTAAAGGAAAGGGTATTCGAACCGAACAAAGGTTACTAACCCAAAGCTGACAATATTTGAACCAAAGAAAGTTTGCTAACCGCAGGGGGTTTGATGCTTAATAGACGTATTGTGATTAACCAAAAAGAATGAGTGATTAACCAAAAGAAGGTGATTAACTCAAGAGAAACTGAGTATCTTAATAGACGGGTTGTGGTTAACTGAGAAAAAGGGTGATTGGTTCAAACAAACGGACTGTGATTGACGAAAAGGCGGATGATTAACTAAGAGAAGGTGATTAACCCAAATAAAAGTTGGTTTTAACGGGAAGATCGTGATTAACCAAAGACCGGGTGATTAGCCGGAAGAAGGCGATTAACCCAAAGAAAGTTCAGTATTAACAGACGGGCTGTGATTAACTAAGGAAAAGATGACTGGTGTTTAACTGACATGCAGTGATTAACCAAACAAGAAAGAGAGATAACCAAGAGAAGGTTGCGAACTCCGATAGGAACTAGGTTTTAACAGGAAGACTGTGTAAACCGGAGAAGAAAGATTGACCTCCCTGAGGAAGAAGAGAATTGGTTTTAACTGAAGAAACAGTTGATCAACCAAGGAAAGGAGTGATTACAAATCTCTGAGGAACCAAGAGTGGATTGGCCTCAAGAGAAAAGAGTGTTAAATTGAAAGGTGAGAGTTACTTCTAAAGAGGAGATAAGGGTGCAAGTGATCAATGATCGACTCGACTGGAGAAATAGGGATACCACAATAAGGAGATATAGGCGACTATTCCAAGCACAGGGTCATTCATCCCCTACCCAAAATAGTCAGAATGAGTATAGGAATTCTCCACTCTCATTCCTTCTCTAACACCAAAGTGCGATGCAAGAATCGAACGAACAACACAAAGATACAAAATTTGTACAGTGCTCCAATGCATTGTGAATCTTCAATTCTACGGGAGAAAAGAGAGGACAAAACTCTAGAAAATCTAAAGGAGAAGAAAAAGGGGAAGGATCGACTAATCAAAACAAAGTTTCATTAATCAATCAAGAGAGGAAGATGCTAACAAATTTCCAAAGGGATGAAAATTATTGAAGCAAAGGATGAATTATTAATTATACAAGTTTAAGTTCATTCCAAAGAAGAACAAACTTAATGCAAACATGAATGGATGTGTAAAACATTACCAAAAACAATTAGTATGCATCACAAATCATGTAGCCTGTGATCAAAGAATATGCAAGAATGATCATGATCATACAAGGATGTCAAAAGATACGAATAATCGAGAATCAACAAATTGCAGATTGAAAGTTTGCATGTATGCCTCAAACAAAAGTTAAACAACTCAAAAAATATCCACAAATATCAAGCATATCAAGCCATGGAAGTTACATGAGCAAAGAAATAACAAACAAGCTTGAAAATGGGCAAAAATACCATTATGTTATAGTGGTAATTGATTACCACCTGCAGGTAATCGGTTACCTGACAAAAATTTTCAAATCCAAGTGAAAATTGTGTAGGGTAATCAATTACCACTTATAGGTAACCGACTACCACTGTAACAGTGGCAAAAAACAGCTTTTGAAAAAGCACCTTCAGCAACCAAAACACTTATCCAATCATCCACATGCTATGATTAACATTTGAGCACGAAAAATGAAGTTCAAAATCACTTAGGCATCAATTAAACATCAATTGAAAGAATTAAACATGAAGATCAAAGATCAAACAATCACATGATCAATCAACACCAAAAAATGATCGAACTACAACGTAAACGCGAGAAAGTGATCAAAATAGTAAATCAAGTGTGAATTACCAACCTACAAGGTGAAGGATTGCCTTGGTGATTGTTTCTATTGATATGTAATGAGAATAAATAAAGAAAACCAGAGAATTCCAAGCTTGAGATCAAATCGTAGCGAAATCGATAAAAACACGATAAATGCTCTGAATACCAATTTGCACAGAAGAAGCTTAAGATGATTACTTGAATTGGAGAAGAAGCTATCGTAAATCCAGAAATCCAAGTAAGAATATGGTGGAATGAGGTTTAGCTCAAGAGAATAACAATTTCGACGTGAAGTTTGTTACACTCTAATGGTAGAAATTGAGCTTTTATGAGGTTTTGGGAAGATGTTGAAGATGAATGTGAGAGAAAATTGCAGAAAAATCAGAGAGAATGTGAGAGAATTGAGAGTGAAGAATGTAGAAATTGAGAAAATGATTGAGGGTTAAAAAGTGGTTAAGGGTCCTTTGTGAAATGGTGGTGATTTGCTTATATAGAGTTTTGCTTCGGAGTTGCTAGGTTCGGAGTGAGCTTTGGATGTAGCCTCGGAACTAGCCTTAGAGTTAGTTAGCCTCAACTCACTGAGTTGGAGGTTAACTCAGTTAGTTAGGTAGTTGACTCAGTAACCATCTCAATGCAAACTTGAATCCAAGGGCTCACATGTTTGAGAATGAAGCAACATGGCGGTCTTAATCCAAATTGATGTATTGGAGCAAATGCCTTGAAGTGTTTAGAAAGGTCTTGAATTGTCTAGAGATGTTTAGAATGTTCCACACAATGCTAAAACCAAGTAGGCTCTAAAAATGTAGAGCGCAAGTTGCTGCCACAAAAAATGCAGCAAAAACTACATTTTTACACAGGGTAATCGATTACCCTACTTTGCCTAGCAAAGTAGTAATCGATTACCACAAGCAAAACTTGCATATTTTGCTTGCAAAATGGTGTTATGACCATGGTTCCGATTTTCGACCCTTTGCTTTGATTAATATGGATAGAAACCCTCATTTTGTGCTTGTTTTGGTGATGTGATATCTTTGAAAGGATGTGATTAATCGGGTTTGGAAAACTTGAATATTTCTGCAATAAAAAATCACAGAGAAAAAATGCGAATGCAAAAAAAAAAAAGGAGGTCAAATTTCGAGTTACGACAGACAATACAAACCAATTTTGGTCCATTAGTTATTTTAGCCCGATCACGAGTTTCTAGATAAATTACTATAACCAGTGCAAGCTCTACCGAATTCAGATAAACTTAGGTCCACTCCAGAACCTAGTCTAAGAGATTAAAAATGTACACAACCCTAAAGTATGAGTCGTGTATTGTAAGAGAAAAATGCTTCACTAAAATCATCCAAAATATGTGTACTCATTCCTTCAAACATGAGTCGTGTAAGAGCAAAGGGAGTTCTTATGAATAGGTAGCCACTAGCCACCGTGTCCCGATGGAATCTACTTTTCAGGCGACTTCTCCCTTATTTCTCAAAACGTGGTAGTCTAGGACTGTGGCTGACTTGCATTCGTTAGTTGTTTGACTATTTAACTTCACCCTCAGTGTGATGATGGCCAACTTTCTTTGTAATATGAGTCATTCATGACCTACTATATTTCCTCCAACCTTAATTAAATAGCCATAAATGCACTCGTCACTTGTAGCCAGATATACTACAAAACAAGAAGCAGCACGAGAGGGAAAAGCCATCAAAGTTATTTCACACTGTCAGTTTCATTGAAACAGTTTATCGTTATTGTTACACACTGTCATATACCCTTTTTGTGATCATGTTTTGCATTAAAGAAATGGCCAAACGAGAAGAGTTATACTCAAATCTATTACGAGTATATGCACAAGACTCAAACTTTCTGAAAGGAACAGCAATTCACGCTCAATTCATCAAAGGGTATATCCCTTTTACTCTTTTTCTCCAAAACCATTTGCTCAACATGTATATCAAAATCCCAGACCTTACTTCTGGACTCCAACTGTTTGATGAAATGCCAGATAGAAACGTGGTGTCATGGTCTGTTGTCATGGCTGGTTGTATCCGTAATGGCTGTGCTTCAGAAGCTCTTTCTTTGTTCACCAGTATGCACCGCGAGGGACTCACCAAACCGAATGAGTTTACATTTGTTAGTGCTCTTCAAGCTTCTTCGTTAACTGAGAATGAGACGCCGGCTTACCAGATTTATTCGTTAGTGGTTCGGTCAGGACTTGAGTCTAATGTCTTTTTGCTCAATGCGTTTTTGACGGCCTTAGTTAGGCATGGTAAATTGATGGAAGCCTTGCGAATTTTTGAGACAAGTTCTATTAGAGATATTGTGACATGGAACACCATGATAGGGGGTTACTTGCAGTTTTCTTGTGAAAGGATTCCGGTGTTTTGGCGCTACATGATTTGTAAGGGTGTGAGGCCGGACGAGTTCACTTTTTCCAGTGGTTTAACGGGGTTGGCTGCTGTCTCCTGTCTTGAAATGGGAATGCAGGTTCATGCACACCTTGTTAAAACTGGTTATGGAGATGACATTTGTGTAGGGAATTCTTTAGTTGATATGTATATAAAAAATCAAAAGTTGGAGGAGGGTTTCAAAGCATTTGATGAGATGCCTAATAAAGATGTATGCTCTTGGACACAAATGGCGGATGGGTGTTTACGATGGGGGGAACCAAGAAAAGCACTTGCAGTCATTGCACAAATGAAGAGAATTGGTATCAAGCCAAATAAATTTACCTTGGCATCTGCTCTAAATGCTTGTGCTTGTTTGACTTCATTGGAGGAAGGGAAACAGTTTCATGGCTTGAGGATCAAACTTGGAAGTGACGTTGATGTTTGTGTTGATAATGCTCTTCTTGATATGTATGCAAAATGTGGATGCATGGATAGTGCACGGGCACTTTTTCGATTGATGGATTCTCGTTCTGTTATCTCATGGACAACAATGATAATGGCGTGTGCACAGAATGGTCAATCCAGAGAAGCTCTTCAAATTTTTGATGAAATGAGGGAAACGAACGTAGTACCAAATTACATCACATACATTTGTGTTCTTTACGCATGTAGTCAAGGTGGGTTTGTTGATGAAGGGTGGAAATATTTTTCCTCCATGAATAATGACTATGGAATCTCTCCCGGAGAAGATCACTACATTTGCATGGTGAGTATCCTAGGCCGCGCTGGGCTAATCAAAGAAGCTAAGGAGTTAATCTTACGAATGCCATTTCAACCTGGTGTGCGGGTTTGGCAAACATTGCTCAGTGCTTGTCAGGTTCACGGGGATGTAGAGACGGGGAAACTTGCAGCAGAACATGCCATAAAACACGACAAAAACGACCCGTCATCCTATGTATTATTGTCTAACATGTTGGCTGAATCAAGCAATTGGGATGGCGTGGTGAGTCTAAGAGAACTAATGGAGATAAGGAATGTAAAGAAAACACCAGGATCCAGTTGGATTGATATTGAAAAGATTTAAATATCAGGAAAACATGGTTGAAGGAGAAGCTGTTTAGAGGATTCTCTCTCCTTCCTTTGGTTGTTTGTGATATATCCAATTAGTTTACATATAGAGGGAGATAATTTTTTAATATACACGACTCGTCCTCCGAAAGAAATATGTACATTGCACAAACAGAAGCTCAATTTTGTTAGGATGTTTTCACTTTTTGGATATTATTTTGTTCATCTTAATTTTTATAACATTTTTTGTTTTCTGTATCTTAAGAATCCATCATTCTTGACATTTAGGATGAAATACGTTAGATTAGATCGGACATTCTAATGCTCAAGTCTGGCATGTAAGTTATGAGTTATAAGAACTCAGATTCGTGCGTCTGAAAGAAAACACACAATTATGCAGTCAAAACTAAGATACAATTGAATTCATTCGGTAACATTTCTTAATGGGAAATCACGTGGAAGTTCTTACAATAAAATTAAGAAAACAAAAAGAATCAAACAATCATATGGAATATAGTTCGTGCGAAGCAACCAAAGTCTTGGAAATCTCAAATATAAGCCTGGCCTCAAATGCATCACCAGAATAACCTTTAGAAGACACTTGACGAGCCTTTGGAGTCCTTTTCACACCAAACTTGTTATCAGTGTTCAATGCCCCTCCAACATTACCAGCCAACTTCAACATAAAATTCATATAAATATTCTTAACCTTTGTCACCAACTTCAATGGTGATTTTATCATCCATCTTAGCTTTGGACTTGTTCTGATCCTCCAATCTCTATGTGGACCTCTCATCCGTATGATCTGCATCTTCTTCCGTTGACCGGTGGTGGTTGTGCCGTAGTCGAGACGCCGATAGCCCCTTCTGCTTAAGTATCTTTTTATTTCCATTTTTAATAAGTTGAACTTGGAAAAGATGGTGGTGAATGAGGATGAAGTTTATGATGGTTTTCTCTCTTTGTGTGAATGAGTAAATATTGTTGCTTGAGTTAACTATGCTATGCTCATTGAACTATATATATGAGAGAAGAATTATAAAGCGCAGCAATCACATACAAAGCGTAATTGTGCATTATAAAAGATATAGAAATGGCTGCATTTGACAAGTAAAGTCAAGAAACAACACTTTGACCCGGATAATGCATAGCATGTGCGAGTCAACGAATATGAACTAGACAAATCGCTCTTTCCTTTCTTGAAAAGTTTTCTCTCTTTAAACAAATCAGTTTGCATTCTTTCCTTCTAGATGCTTTGAGTTTTTAAATATATAAATTTATTCCTACAATTATTAGTTACTTGAGGAAAAACTAAAATTTAAATAATAAATAATGTTGGAACAAGGAATCACAAAAATTGTGATTTTTCAATGTGGGAAGGAAGAGAGGGAGAGAATGAGAGAGTAATTATTGAAGGTAAAAAATTGTTGTTAATTTTTGATATCGAGAAGAAAAGAGTTTTTACTTATAAATTTTGTAAGTAATCTTACAAAGTTTGTAACTATAAAATGTAAGGGATTTTCAAAATATTATATGAAAGTATGCATAAAATAAAATGTGTATATATATTGTTGCTGAAAACAATAGCAGTCAAATAATGTGGCTCAGGGGTAATGGATGTTTTCTTTGAGATAAAGAGTATGTGGTTTGGCACTGACTGAAATCATTTTGAAATATTCCTAGTGAACAGTGTTCATTGTGTATAGACTACTCAAGGTATAGTCTCAAGCAATGAATACAGCCCTGGTGAAAACATGTCTTATTTTTAAAATAATGTCAACTTTATATAGTCTCAAGTAATAAATACAAAATAAATATAAGTGAAAATTAAAATATTTTTATGAGGACCAAAAATATATTTAATTTCTTTTTTAATAAGTTGTCTCTCTTCACCAAATAACACAAATTTATCTATAAATAAATGATACTTAGAAAGCACAAATGAAACACGAAAATAGAAATATACATACTTATTTTCTCTATAATTTTAATTATTCTAAATCATCTTTTACTTTATTAATGCATGAGTGAACTATAGGAAATATTTTTCTGTAATCTATTGTCAAAAGATACGCTTAGCGTGTTTGTGCAATTCACGTTAAGAAATTCAAAGCATCCTAAAGGAAATTAGTAGTCAGTCTCAATTGCATCAATATACAATAATTGGTGGGACCGAATTGAACCTAAAGGTTAGTGCGAATTCACACGCTTTGAATTTCAAGTGCAATATTTATCAACACATTCTTTGTTCTAGTACTGCTACATATTTCCAACAACCACAACACCTAACATAAGGTTTTTAATTAATATCACAAACTTTGTAATTGATCTTAAAATCTTTGTAACTACTTGAATTACATTTCTTCAACACACCACCTTAATTCAAGTCTCTAAAGTCTTCAATACTTATGTATTTCTTCAATATCTTGAACACTTTAATTATCACTTCTTTAGTTAGCAAATCGGTCACTTGATATTCACAATTATAATACCACAACTTCCATTTTTGTTCATTCACAAGCTCTATAAAGTAGTGAAATCTCATCTCTATATGCTTGCTTTTCCATTGTGCAATGAAATTATTAGCAAAGTTTATAATCGAAACATTGTCTATCATTAATTTCACAACTTCATACTCTTGACAAGGTTTATAATAGAAACGTTGTCTATCATCAACCATACAACTTGACATGCACACATAGACGTTGCAATGTACTCAGTCTCACAAGAAGAGAACGGCACAACTGATTCCTTCTTATAACACCAAGAGATTGGGGTTTTTTCATACATAAAGATTTATCCAGTATTGGATCTTTTTTCATCTTTATCTCCACACCTGTTTGAGTCGATATAATTGAGCAATTTGCACCTTTTACCTTTATCTGTTGCCAAAAATAAAATTTAACAGTCAATTGAACCTTTGACGCATCTCATAATTCTCCAGACTGCTGCCAAGTGTGATGCCTTAGGCTTCCCTATGAATCTGCTCATTATGATCATATTATATGCCAAGTCCGGTCTTGTATTACACGAGTACCACAGTGATCCAATTAGTCTCCTCTACTGTGTTGGATTAATATATCATGCTCATCTTCATTCTTTGACAACTGTATTCTTGGATCTATAGGGGTAATGATCACATTACAATGCTTCATTTAAAACTTCTTCAATATCTTAAGAGCATACCTCATTTAATGCATGAGCAGTCCTTTTTCTAACTTGTGAAAGGAAATACGTCATGAGACCAAGGTCGGTCCACTACTACGGGAAACACCCATCGTAATGGTTGGGAAAAGGATACAACCATGTATGATCAACCATTGTGAGGTAAGATGTGATTGTATGTACGAGACTTTATACCACGAGCATAAAACCGTTGTGATAAACTAGGTAGCGCGCTATATCTATAACATATATAAAGGCAATACTTGATTTTTGGTGTAGCTTTTTTTTATACCAAATTTATCCTTATTTTAAAATATATAACTTACACAATAACTTTCATTGAACTACTACTATCATCTTTCATATAACTCCCTACTAATAACTTCCCACATAACTTCCATGTAAAATTAATATTAAATAAAAATATATCATTTATATTTATATGTGTGCAATAAAAAAGCGGACAGACGGGCACACGAGTGCCCGTCTGGACGCTAGTATCACAATAGTTAAAGTATACAACCGTTATGATATTCTTTCCGTCCCTGCGTTATCCGTGATGATAAGTATTCTTCAATGTTTTGTAGAATTACTTGTAAATCGTACTCTAATTGGATCCAACAATCCATACATATTTGATTTATTAAATTTTATATAAACATAGTGAATGTACCTAAATGTTTAAACAAAATAAAAAAAACAAATTTTTACGCACGTAGAAGCTTACCCACAAAAAGAAAAAGAAGCAAATAATTTCAACAAAAACTCATAAAATCATAATCCAACTTGCAATTTTTGAACGGAAAAAGTTACAAACCCTCTCAATAAAATATTTTTGAACGGAAAACTAGAAAACCCTCTCAACAACCTATTTTTGAACGGAAAATAGAAAACCCTCTCTAAACACACAACTACCCAAATCCCCAGTATACCCAAAAGACTACATTTTATTGTTGGGTAGAAAACTAAAACTAACTATCTCTATTTATATTAATACTAATTTTTTCCTACTAAACGATGTGGGACTTGGATGGATAGACTATTTGACCCAACAAATCCTTCCTTCATCCAAAGTCTCACATATCTTCACTTTATCTTCAACTTCATCTTCAAAGCGATCATTATAATTATAATGATTAGGCATATTTGTAAAATTATTACTCTTCAATCTTTTTGTCTTCTTTCTCTGTTGATCAAAATAATTGTTACTCTTCCTTCCTCCCTTGATTGAAACCTTAGCTCTGATACTAGTTGTTGGGAAAATAACAAAAAAAACAAAATTCTACGCATGCTGAAACGTACCCACAAAAAGAAAAAGAAGCAAATACAAAAACTCATAAAATTATAATTCAACTTGTAATTTTTACAAGGACAAAATTACAAACCCTGTCATACAATTGTAATTTTAAGGAGAAAATTGCAAACCCTACCAATTACAAATTTTGAACAGAAAAATTGCAAACCCTCGCTCAATTGCAATTTTTGGACGGAAAAATTTCAAACCCTCTGTCATTAGTAATTTTTGAACGAAAAAATTGCCAACCTTCTCAACAAACTATTTTTGAACAGAAAAATAGAAAACCCTCTCAACAACTTATTTTTGAACGGAAAAATAGAAAACTCTCTATAAACACACAACTATCCAAATCTCTAATACACAAAAAAGACTACATTTTATTGTTGTGTAGAAAACTAAAACTAACTATCTCTATTTACATTAATACTCAAAATTTATTTTTTTCTACTACCCGATGTGGAACTGGGATGAATATACTATTTGACCCAACAATTAGTTCTATACAAAACAATGAATGCACCATAATGAGATATACTTACGTGCACCAAACTTATAGTAAATCTACGTCCAACTACCTATTTCCAACTATCATATCCTTTATATCTTTAGGAAATATTAAGAAATCCCCTAACCCCTGTAACTCTAGATCATGTTCTAGCGTAATAGAAAACACATCGTCTTTATTATGCATAATGTAACATAACATTTTGGAATATGATCCTTTAGAGGGAGCCAATAACCTAACATGCATCTCGTTACTGGCAGAGGCGGATGAAAACTTCCTTTTGTGCTTGCACCATGTATAACATTTCTATCGGGCAATTGATCGTCAACATCATCATCTTCATTTATACACTGTGAGACGGTTCGGCTGATTCTCTACATCATAAAAAACACAAGAACATAAAGCATAATTAACACAATATATATCATACATTTCAGATATCACAATATTCTCACATACTGTATATAACTCTTTTATTTCTTCCAATTGTTTCCTGCGAGTTTCCTGCTCCGCTTCTAACTTTTCTTCAAATTCTTTCTTTTGACTATCTATCTTCCTCTCAAATTGTTCCAATGTTTCTTTTTGCACATATTTGGTGTTTTTTCTAGATGTATGAAAAAAAACTCTCAGGCCGATGCCATATCCGAACCCAAGGACACACCTATCATGCTCCTTTGTTTCGATTGCTTCTACTAATATATCATGATGTGGTTCTGGAGCAAAGGAACCTTCACGGGCTGAGGTAACCAACGAATCCTACACAACATGATAAGACATACATTGTTAATTACCAAAGTGATTTAAATAGAACTTAACATATGTACAACAAGTCCTACTTATAATTTTCTCAGCTACTAATCTTGAGGCATCTGAAGTGTAGTCTTCATTTAGTCTTTGTCGAGCCTTTTCCACTTCTCATGTCGTGATG